TGGGTGAGATGACAGGGAAAATGGAAAGGAAGTTGGTAAAAACTCAGGTTTGCTGTATTTCCTTTACACACTGGTAACTTTCAGTCACAAACACATCCCTCACAGGGTGCAATTCCTTTACGGTACCTATGCGAACATTTTTCTTATCTCAGTGAAAGTGACAAATGACCTAGTTGAGTGTCTATCCCTTATTCCTTTTTGTGTCGCACCATTTCACTCAAATAAAAAGAGAACATTTTATTGTTGAGCAAATTGTCCTTTTTCCCATCTTAATATTATTTTGAGTGCAGGTTTCTAAGGGAAGTATCCCACTCTAACATTGCAGGTTCGTTTTCTCTTGTAGAGAAGGTCGTGAGAAAACAGTTCTGAGAAGGGGTGCTTGTTTCTAGAGGGTGTTTTTTTTTTCTTCTTTTTTCTTTTTGGTATTTCTGTAAAGGTTGCAAGTAGCGAAAACTTTATTCAAGGCAAAATACCACATGTGAGTTTGTTAAACCTCACACTTTAATTTTCGTTTTTTCTTCTCTTAACTCTTCAGTGTCTCCACACAAAGGTCTTTGCTGTGTGTTTGGGAAATACTGTCTTTGAGCTCATATGTGTGTGTGTGTATGGGGAGTTAAGGGTGGATGAAATGGTGACAAAGCTGTTCTAACAGAACCCCTACTGCCTCACTGAGCTCTGCTCCCTCCACTTCTGGTCTCCTTGTCCTGATTTCTTCATATAGCAGGGATTACAGACAAAGGCCATGAGAAGACTTCAGAGCTGGTCTGAGTGACCATAAAACCACCTCATCACCCCCAAATTTCAATGTTTTTAGACATATTGACCAAGTCCAGCTTCTTAAGGGACATGGATTCAAGTAGCTCAACCTACCATACAAACAGGAATACATTGAGGACATGGTGTGGCATCTACACACTTGCTACATGACATTTGAGGCTATTAAGGCCCCATGTTCATTTCCCTTTAATGGTTTTCATGTACCTGGCATTACTCTAATCTCTACCTTACTTAGAATCTCAGTATTTCTAAATTTATTCCTAAACTTTTGGAAAATATTTGAAATGCACTATTCAGCATTTAGAACCCAAAACTGAGCTGAAGCAATCAACACGATTTTGTTCAGTAGCCTTCGGGTACGTGGATTTTGCTTAAGTTTTAGATCTGTGTGCCTCTGCCGGCCAGAGGAGTAGTTTGGCACTGGCTGCAATGCTGCATAAACCAGACACGTGGATATCTGTCAAGTTCAGTGTGACGGCATGAAAACAATCTCAAGGATAGGATATTAAAAACAAATAGAAAAACTGTAACACAAAGTTCATGAAAATGCTTCCTTGTTCAGAAGCAAGGAAAAATAAGCTAACTCATGTGGCGTAACCATGCACTGGGTAAGTTCACATTCAGTAGCGTTATCTTGCATGCTTTGGTTAATATTTGAGTAGGCAGATTTGCGAGGATTAATGCATGCGTTACTTCTGCACCTGAGGTTATATGCTTCATTTTTTAAAAATTGCCTTTTTACAAACCTTATGCCAGAGTTAATCTCCGACACTCTTAAAAAATATATATATATATGTATCTACTTAGTTCAAAACAGTTTATAGTTCAACCAGTTCTGTAAATACTGAGAAGGTAAACTGGGCAGTAAAATCCAGAGAGGGAATGCATTTGGAATTATTTAGAAAGGTTAAAATTAGGTGTGTGCATGTGTAGTAATTTCTAAAATAAGAAGCCTCGAAAAGATAGCACACGAAGTAAGCCTTCAGAATACCCTGTTTCGAAAAAGCATTTCAAGGTGTAAAACAACAGCAACAACCATGTGAAAGTACAGCCCGGATCTGTGGGACTGATTCAGGGACAAGTGAAGAAGGAGCACAAAAGGAGCTTGCTTTTATATTGCCGAGCTCACAAAGTTTATGGTAAGTAGTTTGGGAGCTCCTGGTACAAGTGGGGCTAGTACAATTGTGTTTAAGTCTTGCTTGTACAGCAACACTATCCTAGAAAGATTGATCTAGTGCAATTATCTGGACATGGACCCAAGATTCAACTCAGTAGCTCTTGATTATTATGCTAAGTGAAATAAGCCAGTCAGAGAAAGACAAATACCATATGATCTCATTATATGTGGAATCTAATAAACAAAATAAACTGACGAACAAAGTAGAAATAGAGGCATGAATACATGGAACAGACCGATGGCTGTCAGAGGGGTTGGGGGAGGGGGCTGGGTGAAAGAAGGCGAAGGGATTAGCCAAAAAAACATATATGCACAACCCACCGATGTAGACAACAGTGTGGTGATAGGCAGAGGAAATGGGGGCAGGGGGCAGGGGCTCTGCAGAGGTGGGCAGAGTGGGGGAAAGTGGGAACATCTGTAATAGTGTTAACAATAAAAAAAAAGTAAAAAAAAAAGAATGAAGAAATGGCATAAAACTGTGGAAATGGGTGTGTCCTGGACTTTCCAACCCCGTTAAGTATCACTAATTTGCTGTTTTAGTTAAAACGCAGGTTGGCTGAGAAAGCACAGCTCACAGTTCTCTATGAAAGTCTCTTGGTGAACAAGATCTGCCTTTTTTTCAAGGAGTCATGGGGAGTGATTGTGGGAGAAAGCAAAGGGAATGGTGACTCAATATGATTAATCCAGTAAGTGGACACTTTACTCCTTCCCCTCCCCTCTCCTATCCCTCCAACTCCTCCTCACATTGAGGTCTACAGCACAGAGAAATAGCTCGCTAGACATAGTTATAACCTATTTTGAAATTCAGCAATGATCACTGGTCTTCTCTGCATTTTCATCTAATCTCCTGGAGAAATTGGTCCTTGAAAGGCCACTATGCAATTGAGTGGCCACTCTTATAAAATTGTACCATCCTCTGAGAGATCTTGGGCTGCTACTCAGTAATGCAAGAGAGTAGATAATCAAGGCCTTCCCAGAGTGCTTCCAAGGGAACCAAGGCCATCTTTTCAAATGGAAAGAGTAATATAAATGACAACTTTACACCATGACGATAAGATACCAAAAACAATTTTTTTTTTTTTTTTAAATGTGTATAAACTTAAGAAAAAGATGTATACAATAAAGACTGTTCTAAGATCTTGCTATTTACTTTTTGGTGTTGCTCTGATTGCTATAAACTTTCACTTGCTTTTTAGTAACTTTTAACTTAATTTTAGTAAAAATATTATGAAAAAATGTCTTGGGCAATAATTCTGCACCTCCTGACAGGTAATAGCTTAGGAAAATCTTGGTTCTGATGGACACTAGATATATTGGAGAAAGTCCTACCAAATGCTTTGCAGATTACCAAATTATGAAGGGAATGGAAAATTGTTCACTCTCGCTGCAAACAATTCCTTGGAGTTTGAAATTGCTTTATATTCAAATAGCAAAATAAAACAGGGGCCCCAAATTTGCCAGCACTTAGCAACAATCAAGTTAAATAAACACAGTGCACATTTACCCAACTGTCAGGCTTTAAATTATTACTGATCTCATGTATGTAGTGGCAGCAAAGCTAATAAACCAATCTATTATTATTGCAAATTTAGTTACTATTGAAAGTATAGAATATTGTCATAAATAGAACATTTGTGAAAGTGGCTTTGAATCCTTTGTTTAGAGGTTCCTAATGGACTATGATGGATGCAAGTCAGCTGGCCAGCGTGGATGCTCAAGGATACGGAGGAGGAAGGAACGTGCCGAGAAGGGATGCTATTCCGTCAGGGATACTCAACCAGGTAGCTACCATCGGTTGGCGGCTGGCCCCATGAGTCCTTCCCAGGCCGAATTTCTAGGATTCTGAAATTCTGGAGAATACCATTCTTGAAAATCTTGTTGAGCTTTTCTTTGCCTCTGAGCCTGCAGGAAAGTAGGTTAAGATTGGTTGTCACTGCTGCCCAATGGTGAATGCCTCAATGTCTTGCCTCCTGCTGGTCCCGCTGGAGGTGTCACCTCATCCAAGTGAGCTTTGACAGTGAACAGCAAAGCTGCCACCACATGCCCTCAACTTTTTGTCTTTATAAACTAGAATAGGTTATAATGTATGTAAGCCTCAAGGATTTGTGGTTTCATGTTTACCTGAGGCCCTGTCCTATGCCAGGGACTTTGAACGTAACAGAGGAGACCATTTCTCCCTGCACCCCGAGTTTAGTATGTGTGCAGTAGAAGCTAACTCCCCAGTCAAGTGAACTATCTTGATCCAAATGCTGTTTTTTCCTGGTTAACTATAAGCATGAGTAAAACCAGCTATTACTCACCAAAGGGCATGAAGAAAAGCTGGAATCAGATTGCTTTGGGGAGACTCTGGAGGAAGCAGACACACTGAAGAAGAATGGGACAACTGACTAGGACAAGTTACCGGGACTGGGCATTGGTGAAATTATATTTTGGTTAGCATTTTGCAAACAATTTTTCTAATCCTTTCAAAAGTGATGTCTTTCTCAATAATTGCTGAGCGCCCAACAAGCACAAAACACTCTGAAGAGCTGAGTGGGATGGAACCAATGGAATAAAAGACCATTGCCAACAGGAAGTCCTGGTACTTAGTAAATGTTCAAGAGGAGAGCCTAGCCATGTGAAACCTCTGATGTTCAGGGAAATTCAGCTCGAAAGCACTGATCTCTGTCACTTGGGATGCAAAAGGGCGAGCAATGAGATTATTATGGAACTCAGAAAAACACAATTTTTAGGAAAAATGTATTTATCACTCTTAAGAAATGCCATTTAAAATATTAACAATTGAAAAGGAATTATCAGTGTGCAGGGAAGTTAGTAAGCAAGTAAAATATGACATTTAAGTAAGTTAATGTTAACTCATTAGAAATGACGACATCATCAAACTTCCGTCCTGCAGAGAATGCATGAAGAAACAGTGTCTTACCTCTTGCTTAAGGTCAAACAGTCTCAGACAGCACGTGAATAAGATCTGTGTTTGCATATTTACACCCTATGTCACATCTGCTTTGAGGAAAACACTCCTTCAAAACCCTACACTGTGAAAAACTATTTTCAGGAATTTTTATTTGGTCCATTGAGCTAACAAGGCTGAGCTCCCAAATCTTTACCCCCGCCCCCCTTCCCCACGTTAAAAATTGGAGCAACAAAACAAAACTCCAGCAAGGCATAAATGAGATATTAAAGTGCATATATACAGTCCCAGAAAAGTTTTGATTGGGAACAGCAAAAATTTCTAGTGCAAAAACTGCTTTTGCCAGCAAAGCTCCTTCTCTGGAATCAAAAAGCTACAGTAAAAGTTAAAATTGGAACGGGTTTAAGCAATGCCTCTTTTTAGTCGAGTTAATATTTGTGCATGCACCTCGGCCCAAACTACGTTCAATCTTCTAAAAGGGGGAATTTTAGGGGACAGTTCAGAAATAGTCAGAATTCCCTGATCAGAGGCAGTGCTTTCTCCAGGTGTGTCACGATCAAGTTCCTTAGATGTGTCATCAGCCGCAAGTGGGGACGAAAACCCAAAGACGATGTTTTGCGACAGGCTTGCAGCTTGCGGAGAGAGTATTCACATAGTTACTTCATCTTGGTTAGTCTTGAGCCTCTCGCTTCTTCTTTCGAGCCCGACCTTGACTCTATATAACATTTTGTGCTTTGGGATCTGAACAGAGACTGGGCATTGTCTGTAGGAATTCCCTCAGGCTCTATCACCATGGCCTTTTGAACATCCGGTGTCACCATTTTGGAATCCATAATAAAATAGGTTTGCATTTCTGAATACACATATGGACAGGGATTATTATTTTTTCTTTTCTTTCAAGGATCCAAATTGAAAGCTCTTAGGAGGACATCCAGGTCACCGAGATTGGCCGCCTGGAAGAGTTCTGGCTGGTCCATCAGAGACAGTGCGATTCTGAGGGCAGCCCAGATGTTCCCGGAGATGGCAGGATGAGGAACTTGCTGTTGATTCCGGCTTTTCCTCTGCAGACTGAGGGCAGTGAGAAAATTGCTAACCGCTTCTCTAAGAGGGTAGAAAAACAGACATTTACAAATGCAACGCATTTCAGAGTTAGCAAATAAGACAACAAAAAACGGATGAAGTTATTTTACTCTTAAATCCTAAATCACCTTTCTATGGTGTGTGGGCTCATCAGATGAACAACTTTCTGATTCTGTCATTACTCTTTTGTGAAAAATCATCGTTTAATGCAGTGAGATAGAAAGAAAAAAGCAAAGCAATTTTTATTTAGGAAAATCATGTGGGAGAAGAAGAATAATGGCATTGCTAACTCTTCAATGCATCCACTTTTCTCTGCTCCAAGAACGACTTGAAGACGTAGGCTATTCACAGACGTGGTTTATAAAACTAGGGTTGAGGAGGCAGCATCTGGTCCCACTCAGAAACAAAGGGTCTAACTCTTCCTATTAGTGATAGAAATATGGGGAGGAGCAGGGGTTGAGTTCAGTTTCTTATCGGAGAATCTGAGCTTGGATCCCATTATGTAACCGTAGGCAAATTTTTTATCTTCTACAAGCCTCAGTTCCCCCAACTATATAATAGGGAGACTAGACGTCATTTTAAAACCTTGTGAGGTGCAGTGAAATCATTTTATGTGAAAACTCTTATCATTAACTTAAATTGTTCTAAAAGTGTTGTTGGAGGAACCCCGAGGATCAATGAGGCCAAAATAATTTTTAAAGTAATCCTGACATGTTATTTCACCTTTAACTCTTAGTCTCTCATGAGTGTACACTGGAATTTTCTAGGGACCTCATAATTTACAACATCCCACAGATTGAATGCGAAAGCAGAAATGAGTCTTCTTTTAAGCAAAATATTAATAGATTCACAAAAATGATAAAAGAATGTCACTCTTCACTAAACATTTGTTTTTGTTTTGTCTTTTTAGGGGTGAAATATGTAATTTATATTAACATGTAATTAGTTTATTATATTTAAATGAATCTTTCAAAATTTTCTGTTTAATTCCTAATATGGTAAAAATTCATAGATAAAACCCACATAAGAAAAGCCCTGTGAGGTTCTCAGTAGCTGTTAAAAATGTTAAAGATGTCTGGCTTGTGTGGCTCAGTTTGTTGAGTGTCATCTCATGCATCAAGAGGTCGCCAGTTCAATTCCTGGTCAGGGCACATGCCCAGGTTGTGGGCTTGATCCCCAGTAGGAGGCATGCAGGAGACAGAGTTTATTCTCATACTAGTGGCCCAGTGCCTGGATTTGTGCACACTGAAAGTAAATTAATTAGAAGAAATATTTTAATATCACTATTTGCCCTTTCTCTCTAATAGAAGTGTCAACCAAATTCATGATTGACAATGACAGATCAAAACAGATTCGTGCGATTGGCACCAAAGAGAGCTTTATAAGTATCGTGCATGTGCAAGTCAACTTAGCCTTTTATAGATATAGAATAAACTTGCTTAATTAGACCTGCTTTCTGATTTAGCTAAACTTTTTCCAGCCCAGTGAAGCACCCCAACTTCTGTTTCAGGTAATTGTCAGCAACACAGCAGTAAATATCAACATGAAGCAGATTATTACTGTAGATCATGCAGGGAGAAAAAAGGGTAAAATATTTAACTGAAGCAATATTTGACTATATTCTGGGCAGTGACAAAACCTGAAGTCATTTTCAAGGTCCACCATTTCTTTTTTCTTTTTTTTTTTTTTTTTTTGCATGTGCCCTGACTGGGAATTGAACCATAGGTGGACACTCAACCACTGAGCCATGAGGGCAGCACTAAATGACAGTATTTTTTTAAAAATATATTTTATTGATTTTTACAGAGAGGAAGGGAGAGAGAGATAGAAAGTTAGAAACATCGATGAGAGAGAAACATCGATCAGCTGCCTCCTGCACATCCCCTTCTGGGGATATGTCCACAACCCAGGTACATGCCCTTGACCGGAATCGCACCTGGGATCTTTCAGTCCGCAGGCCGACGCTCCCAGTGGTGGCGGTGCCTGTGTCCCACTTGGGGGAAGCTGAGTGTTGATTTGTCGGCGTCAGGTCCGAGGTGCCATTTCTTTGTAAATGGCCAGTGTGTGTCATGGCAGCTCCTGCATTGAGTGTCTGCCCCCTGGTGGTCAGTGTGCATCATAGTGACCAGTTGGATGGGTGGAGGGCCACGTAGCATATTAGCTTTTTATATATATATATTAATTATTGTATTATTTTCCACACTAACAACTGTAAACCTACTTTTGCCCACCTGGTATTATTATCGAAGGGGAAGAGATTTACTTTTTCATTAAAAAGGGGTCCTCACTTTTGAAATGGTTAAGATTCATTGGTCTAAGCTCTACTCTGGCGCTCCGACTGACGAAAGGGTAGCATTTTAAGCTGTATCCTCATTTCAGGCCAACAACTTCCTCTCCTTACTTCAACTGTATTCAGGACTAGGGTAGGGCGTGCTTTTGACTTCTTATAGAAAGTGTGAGGTGACAAACAGTGAGTGTTATAACGTATACACACACACACACCTGCATTTCTTAAGGGGCACGTCCCAGACTTTGTACCAGCTCCTGGCTCTCCTCTGAGCCACATCTCTATTGAGGGTTGCTATTTCCTACACATACACTTATACCCCAAGTTAAACTTACTTTCAGAATTCATTTTGTGTCTCACTTGATGATCTTTTTATTTATTTCCGGAAAAAAAATGCAATATGTTTATCACTTCACAAGCGTTCCCATATCCAGCATGACAATGTAAGATGTACAAAACTTAGCCAAGAAGTTCCAAAGTTGCTATTAAATTTGATGCACAGTTAAATTTGAGTTTCAGATAAAAACAATGAATAAGTTTCAGTTTAAGTATGTCCCATGCAATGTTTGGGAAATATTTATCCTAAAATTATATTTACTATTTATTTGAAATTCCTACTTAACCACACATTCTGTATTTTATCCAGCAACTTTAACATTGACTTGCTTTTGGCCTGCTTGAGGGTTAAAGTCCACACCTCACCAGGATTGCCCATTTGTACTTGTCATGGACCTTCGGGGATCCCTGCAAAATACTTGCCCTACTGAGGCTTACATCTGTGATTGCCAAGCAAGTGTTCTATCGGCCCCTCAAGTATGTTTTCTACACTAAGAAGCTGCAATAACAAAAAAATAAGAAAGCTCATCCATCTTGGCCAGTATGGCTCGGTGGTTGAGCATTGACCTATGAATCAGGAGGTCACATGGTTCAATTCTCGGTCAGGGCACATGCCTGGTTGCGGGCTCGATGCCCAGTAAGAGGTGTGTAGGAGGCAGCCGATCAATGATTCTCTCTCACATTGATGCTTCTCTCTCTTCCTCTCCCTTTCTCTTTGAAATCCATAAAAGTATATTTTAAAAAACAAAAAAAGGGAAAAAACTCATCAGAAGCCTTACAAAAGCCTCATTTAATTGAATTCAATGTACCTACATGCACTTATGTATTCATTTACATCTCTCCTTGTTCCAGAAAAGGACCTAAGTTATATCATAAAATATACCTAGAAAATAAGTGAGTAAAATGTGTAAAGATAAAAGCAGGTTAGGGACATCAGAGGAAGCCAGGGATGAAGTTAACATACAAAATGGACACTGTCAGGCCTGAGAGGCAGATGTGCAGGAGGCGGGACCCTGCACTCGGGCCCTCTGCACAGCGGCTGTCATGAGGACCTCAGCAAGGTCCCACGTCCACAGCATAAAACAAACCAGTTGCTCAGAGGTCGCTCAGGTTTCCTGGTTTTGACCGGAGCAATCAGTGACTGATGAATGTTCTTCCTAAGATCCCTTTATTATAAATGTAGCATCTAGTTTCTAAAGCCTCAACATTTGTCAACGGCACAATGTACTAATGCAGTTCAGAAATGGGAATTCTTCAGATGGCAATAGGATAATAATAACAATAATGATCCTGTTATAATAACAGTATCTAAATAATAACAATGATACTGCTGATGACAGCAGTAACAGTCATAATACTGACTCCTGCTAGGTATTGAGCATCTGTTCTGTGCTGGGCAATTATACTTAAACTGCACAATAATCCTGCAAGATAGACATCATTACTCCGCCACCCCTTTTCTGAAGCAGGTGAAGAAATTGAGGCTCACCGTTATGCGCTCAGAGTCATAAAACCAAAAAACGGCGACTTGAACTGTGACTTGACCCAAGCTTATCTGATTCTAAAAGCCTGCCTCCTTCTGGGAATGAAAAAGGGTGTGCGTTTTTTGGTGGGGGTTAAAAACTAACATTGAGTTCTCTCTCTTTTTCCAGTTATGGAAGCAATACCAGTTTACTTAGAAATCAGAAAAAAAAAGAAAAAGAAAGAAGAAAAAAATCACCCGAACTTTCATTACACAAAAGAAACAAAGGTCGTTTGTGGTCCCTGTTGGTGGGGGAAAGACAGGAGAGGACACCCAAGTGATAATGAGGAATCGTGAGAGAAGAACATTTCAAACTGTAACCCACCATTTACAAATATTTCCTTAATACCGTTTTATTACTCACTTTATTGGTTTAGAGAACCTGCGTTCTTGGTTGTGCTTTGCCAAAATCTGGCCCTGGACCCTTTTTAAGTCATTTTGCTGTCTCCTGCCC